AATTAGGCACTCAAAAGGTGCATGTGTGGCTATATGTACCCTTACTGTAAATGAAAAACATAACTATCTAATAAAACGTTCCCCGGCCAAAGAGGCCACCTTAATACCGGAAAAAAAATAAATAAATAAATTTATAGTCCAATGAATCTATTACATCAATTCTTAAAGACAATACATTCTGAGATCGGTTAAGAATTATAGTTCAAATATTAGAACCATATTCATTAATTCCAATTGTATTAGAATCACAATATACAACACTTGCTGATACAATGTAGTTGTAGCTCGACTACAAGGAGTTGTTAATATGATTGATAATGATAATTTTCAAAACTATATAATTGCACAAATACAACATAGATAGAATCAGATGTATAGTTCACTTTTTATTATTTGTTGGTTTCTTCATCCCAAATATTTTCATATGAAGGCTATTAGACCAGAACTCACAACTATTGTTAAGAAAGAAGCAAGTCTTTTATTTGAATGTTTATTTCTTAATAAGAATTCTGAATGCAACTGATTGATTGGAATAATCAAGCATATCCATTTGACTTTAATGGGAATTGGGATGACTATCTAGTTAAAAATTCTGTATACTTCTGAAATAATCTTCAAAACGAAATACCAGAATTGGCTGCTTTCACTGCTTGAGTTATGTCTATACTACCTACATCAGCTGAAAGTGAAAGATTCTGATCATTAATAGCAAATATTCATTCACCACAATGTTATCGATTAACAAATGAACATGCAACAAAAATGACATGTATCCAGTGACATATTTTTCAAGAAAAAAATCGCTCAAATTATATTATTCAAAATAAAAAAAAAATAAATAATTTTAAACAAATTGTTCATGTTAATGCAACTAATTCTAATGAAACATGTATTGAATTTGATGATTTGGACAATGGCAATAATAATTCAGAACTAATTGAAGAAGAAAATATAATACAAGCAATTGAAAATATTGACAATTTCAATACTAATGATCAAATTACTTATAACAAAGCAATAGTTGAAACCTCTATTCAAGCTACATATAATAATTATGAAACAACTTTGGAGGACTGGTTATTTCTAGAAAAAATTAAAAATATTTAATTCATTTACATTTACAGTAATAACATTAAATAAATATAGCAACGAATATTTCAAAAAAAATAAATATTAAATTTAAAAGAAATTTGTATTTATAGTAACAATTCAAATAATAATTTATAATATAGCAATGAATGCTTTTAAAAAATAAATATTGAAATTTCTCTATTAATATAACGATGATAATATTAATATTTAATTAAAATTAGCGAAATAACGCGCAGGAGTGTTAGTTCGAATAATGGCCCGAATTGTGTTTAATTTAGGCCAAAATTCGGAATGCACGTTATTCAATCAAAACGACACCCGACAAAATGTTACACGAAAAATAAAACAATAGTGGGAGTAATTACTTTTATTAAAATAATTAATGCTACGATTAGACATGACCATTTCTCGTGTAACATTTTTGTTTTGATTGACGACGCCTATTTTTGATACAGAGTAATTATTTTCTAATCGATTATCTATTTTTTTTTTTTTTATAAAAGTTATTTAACGTTCTATTAAAAGTCAGGTACTATATTTTAAACCAAAGATTTTGGTATCCGAGCGTTGAGCCTAATTTAGGTTCAGTTCTGGTTATTTTGAACCTAAAATTTGGGTCATTTCTTGAATTCAGTTACGATACGATGTCATATTTATTAGATATTTTAATATAGAGCAATTTTTATTTCCAACCGGTAAATTATTCTTTTTTATTAAAAGTCAGTTAATGTATTCTTTAAAAGTCAGCTACCATATTTAAGCCAAAATTTCGGTATCCAAACGTTGAACCTAATTCAGGTTCAAATCTGGTTATTTTGAACCTAGAATTTAAGTGAAGCGGGAGCCAGACATTCCTAAAATTCAATGGAGTAAGGCTTGAAAGGCTTTCACCTCGCTCTCCTCAGCTCCAACCAATTATATTATTTTACTGTCACTTCTTGCCAACTTCTGATGACAGTGGCCATCCCGTCATTACTTGATGGTTTTCGTAGGCAATAACATATTAAACTTTATTCAAACCTACTTAGTAAGTAAATGCAAAACATTATATAGGCTTTAAGGCAATGAGTTTAATGAATTTGTTTGTCCTTCATTTTGCATAATCCTAATGCGATCCAAATATTTACTAGTTTTATTGTATAACAGCATCTGGATATCATTCTTTCTATATACTATTGTGTAAAAAAACAGTTTAAAATTTTATTAATTATATGTTTACAGTAAAATTGAATTTAGAATTCTTTATTTAACTTGGGACATATTTCTGGAATTCTGTTACAACGTATGCGTATTCAGAATGAAGTAAACAAATTTACAATAATTCCATTCTCATGTACAGCATATACATTAATTTTTGAAATAAATTAATCACCATTAATGAAAATTAACAGTGGTACTGTTAATGCGATCAACATTACCAGCAAAACACCAATTTTCCCAACCATGCCATCCATCAGTTTCAAATTTTGCAGGGCCATTAAATCTGGTAACATTAAATTCATGACCTTCTAACGAAATTATAAATTCTTGTTTATCATCCGGAACTTCAATGAATTTCCACTTTTTACCATGACGATTTATCATATTATTTTGGTACCCGCTCAAATGTGTGCTGTCTTTTAAAGAATACATTAACTGACTTTTAATAAAAAAGAATAATTTACCGGTTGGAAATAAAAATTGCTCTA